GTAGCAGCATCCGCTATATTCCTAAGGGTATGTTCTATTTCTGCTTCTATGTAGGATTACTAGATATCCAAGGCTGACCAAATGCCGGCTCTTGCTAGTTGTGTCTAACCCTTGCCATATTAAAAAGCAAACGGTTTGAACGTTCTTCCAGCTATACTGTGAACGGCAATGCGCGCAGTTGACGATTTAAAATCGTAAATTAACCCAGATAAGACTACAAAATCGAAAACTTGTGCCCGATTCATATTTATTCACACAATCAGATATATATCGGCTATTGCATAAATTATGATGCAAGAGGCGAACTGCATTCATCGCCTAACTGTTGATCGATTGCAGTCAGTTCAACGAAGCACGACTAATTTTATACAACATTTTTCGTCTGATCCTGGCGGTCTTTTACTTTCAACAAATCGGCACAGTCCTCACATTACGACAATTTAAAATACCGACCACTACTTTGATCAGGGTCGCCAGTTAATAATGACGACGTAGTCGACGATTTAATCCCGATCCCGTAATAAAGTTGCCTCTATCCTGTTTCCATCCACCTTCCAATTTTGGAATAAAATTTGAAAACTGGAAGTTAAAAGTAGGTAAATTAAAAGGAAAGGTAGATAAGAAAGGAAGACTGTGGACCTTTGTCTCGAATACGTACCCTGTTCTTACCCTCGAACTTAACACTCATATTTTGCTCCTGATGATGATGATGATGATGTTCCTATGATTTAATGTGCCTGATGTATCTAATGTGTATATAATCTAATCTCAGTTTATCGATCTTTTAGATAACCCATTCAATGGAGCTCCGTTAAGCATAGAAGTTATATAGTGATCATATAAATCTACGAGTAATGCGGTTGCCGTATGCCGGCTGTATGGTCTTACTGACTCAAAACTTTGGTCCTTTCTTCAAAAGGCCAACCTAGACCCTATATACTGCACTCACATAGTTCTCTTTAACATCGTAAACGGACTTACTTTTGGCGTTTCTTCCCATAGTGAGTCTTAGGAAATGCCGGCGCCTTCTAGCTGTAAAGTCCGACTTGCAAAAATATCTGAATAGATTTCACATCATCACATCACGTCAACAGCCTTTAATAGTCCACTGCTGGACATAGGCCTCTTCTTAGAAAGGAGTTTTTGGCCTCTTGGTTTCTGGAAAGATTTACTTGCAGAAATGAATATCATTTGGCAGAGTCCTGGGATGGAAGTTATAAGCTCCGGTAACCTCACTCACTCGGTGAAAACTAACGAAATAAATGCTTAACACCGATTTTCTGTGTGGCCCATATCACTCTGGTCGAACCTTCCAATAAAATATGTAGAAGCATAACGAGCGAATGGCGTAGTGGTTTGTGTAACGGACTGCTATTCCAAAGGTCGCGGGTTCGATTCCCGCTCATGTCAAACATTTGTGTGCATGAACATTTAATGTTTGATTTGTTCTGGATGTTTCAATGTATAATAAGTATGTATTTACAAAAAAAGTATATATGTATTTATATCAGTCGTCTATTACCCATAGTACAAGCTCTGCTTAGTTTGGGACTAGATGGATGATATATGCGTCATCGAATATCAAAGTCTATGTAAGCTGTGCGAATGAATAGCCAGAGGCGTCAGAGCCTTGGCCTAGAGGTCAAGCCAACTAGATATTTCATTTCGTCTATTCATGAAATGCAATACTATGACATTATGTTATATCTGTGATTTGTAAAGCAACTTAGACAAGGACTTACTTTGTAGGAAAAAACATTATTATATCTGTGTGATTTATTTCCATATAATTGTGTGTAGGTAAATCTGTTTTTTCTTCTTTGTGACGACATAAAAAGCATTTAAATAGTAAAATAAACTAATAAAAGTGAGAATTTATAACCATTTTTTTTTCTTTCCTATATATAAGATTATATTACATAATAAATTTGCAATGAACTAAATACAGTGGCATTTGGACTACATTGAATCCCAAGCGATGTACATTTTCTCTTTACAATCTCTAATTTCAATTAATAAATTAAATGTAAACCCAACATAAGTTTAGTGTGTTTGTTTCACATCAACATCAACAGCCTTTAATAGTGCACTGCTGAACATAGGCCTCTGCTTAGAAAGAAGGTTTTGGCGTACTATACCACGCTGGCCAGGCGGGTTGGTATAGGGTTTGTGTCAAGTTTTCCGTCTTTTTGCAGTGCTGGTGTCCTGCGTTGTTTTACGCCCTTAGTCGGTTCTTACGACACCCACGGGATGAATTGGGGTAGTGACATTCCGTTTTCTTAATCCGTCACTACACGGACAGTGTGTTAGTTTACTGTGGCTTTATGACTGTCAAACCAAATGATTTCATTTCGTTTCATACAATCTTTCTGTGTAACTAATTTCATGCAAATGCATTCAGTAGTATACAATTGGTATAAAATTATACCCACGAAATACACAATCCCATTAATATTATAATCCTTCCTGCTATAAAATAAAGTCCCCGGCTGCGTCTGTCTGTCTGTATGAACGCGATAAACTCAAAAATTACCGAACGGATTTTTGTACGGTTTTCACCAATAGATAGTGTGATTCCTGACGAAGGTTTAAGTGTATAATTCATGATGGTTTTATGTAAATTGACTGAAATATAACGATTATTGTTAAAGAAGTCGCAAAAATCTTATGCTATATAAACCGGGCGAAATATTACATTTATTTGATGATACTGGTAATCACACTCATTTGATGAAATGCAAGGATATAATTGCTAAACACCAGTTTTCTGAGAGCCAGTGGTATAGTTTAGGTCTAATTTATGTGCCGAAGTATGGATAAGTATTACATATAATAATGTTAAGATAAAAATAATGTAGACAACAAAATTGATTATGATAATACACTACGGGTCACAGATTAATTACCTAAGAGTAATTACGTAAAAACAGTTAAAAAAACTTAAGACGTGTGTGCGGATTTTGAACATGAATATACAGCAAACGAACACAACTCTTTATTGAATTCAGAACGTAATATTGTTTCAACAGATTCACAAAGTGACGTAATAATTAAATGACTGTAGGAGACCATCGTTTTCCTGTTAATGGGTAAGGCCATTTAGCGTAAACCTTTCAAAACTAATTGTTTATTAACTGACGTGTTATTGTACTTTCAATCTTCGCATCAGCCTCCTTATACTTTAAATACCTGTAAATATTAATTTAACTAAATAGCTATTTCTTTGTATCTTAAATCAGACAAAGAAAGATCGATGAGTTTGACTATCAATGTTTCGCCTTAGCGACATTGTAATTGTAATGTTTTATGTGTAATTATATCAGTTTCTTGTCCGTGTAGTGACAGATTAAGAATACGGAATGTCACTACCCCAATTCATCCCGTGGGTGGTGGTGGTGAGAGCCGACTAAGGGCGCAAAACAACGCAGGTGCTGGTGAGCACTGCAGTAAGAAGAAAAACTTGACACAAACCCTATACCCACACACATAAGGAGAGGCCTATGTCCAGCAGCGGACTATTTAAGGCTGTTGATGATGATGATGTGATGATATCAGTTCTAAGTTAATTTAGACTAATATTATAAAGCTGAAGAGTTTGTTTGTTTGCTTGCGTTAATCTCAGGAACTAGTGGTTAGAATCGAAAACTTGTTTTAGTGTTGGTTAGCCCATTCATCGACGAAGGCTATAGATGCTATTTTACATTACGCCAACACCAATAGGAGCCCAGCATTAAGGAAAATGTTGCATGAAGGGGGGAAAGTGTTTTGCTTTTGAGAGAGACAGACTAAGTTGGTTATTAAAGGATATGTACTCGTATTAAATAACTAAATTGGAAAATGGCAGGCAGTTACCTACAAATAACTAAATTATAGAACTGCAGGCAGTTACCTACATTGTATATTTGTTTAAAAGAGTATTAAACCCACATTGTTACTAACCACAACTGCGGTATTCGCTAAAAGTCATTAAAAGAAGTGTAAGCGTGACATTGTTTTTTTTTCCAATAAATTTAATTTCGTATACATGTGTATGTAATTACAAAAAGATACTGTTTATCAAAATGTAACAATCAACCGGTACGTTAAGTACGTGATGTCAAGTTCTCCACTCAACGCAGAGTTAACATTGCGAAGTTAAGCAATCCTACCCAGGTCAGTATATGGATGGGTGACCATTATTGACACATTGAGACCCCTCCGTGCGTCGGAGACTTGACTTGGAGGTTGCCGACCCCAACCAAGTTTGGAAAAAGACTGAGGATAATGACGTCACACGGTAGCTACTGTTTATTAATTTCGGAAATAAGATAGTGGTTGACCTATTTTTGTTAAAGGCGTACCTAACGCATAAAGTATTTCTACATTTTATTTATTTCCAAAGCCTTGAGCTTTAGTAAAAGAATAAAAGTGAAGTTGTAAACAGTAACAAAGCAATTTTTACCGCCTTCCATAAAATAGAGGTTCGCCATTTTGTGAACTGATCCCATCAGTCTTTTTTAATTAAATTGGTTATAACGACAAACTAATACACTAAATAAATAAAATATTAGGCTGGAAAATACTATAATTTGAGCGTTTTGATTGAAATAACGTAAATCCTTTAAGAACGTTACTAATCAACATTCAAAAACGAATTCGTATTCCGTTCTTGTATGCGGTTAACAGGAACTATAAAATATATTGTGTTGTTCGCAGCATTTCTCATGAAATCTAGACAAAAAAAATTCTGAACGTTGTTTTGAGGATTTTTATAGAATGTTTTTAATTTTATTTCTGTAGGTAGCGATTTAATATTAGGAACTAGATTGGTACGTAATTTTAGACATAATCACACGTCTGATAAGAAATGGATATTAGAACTTTATATAATATCAGATATCGAGGCAAATAATTGAGGATAGTAACAATGTAGTATGTTATTCAACAATAGTCGTATTGATGATATTTATAGATATAATTTGAATCCAAATGTTGTTACATAAGGCCTTCGTATGTTTCAGTTATCTCGTGAGCGGTGACGCGGACGGCAAGTGCTATATTTGGGACTGGAAGACGACGAAACTTTATAAGAAGTGGAAGGCTCACGACGGCGTCTGCATCAGCTCGCTGTGGCACCCGCATGAGCCCAGCAAACTGCTAACAGCGGGCTGGGACGGTCTCATCAAATACTGGGATTAAAAATAAAAGAATCGACTTCATAAAACCATCTTTTTATTCCCAATCTAACATGAACCGCAGGAAATAACATTAAATATACATTTTTTTTAAACAGGTTACATAGTCTTACTATTTTTGATAAAAAGCGCCCAATGTCATGGTTAATGTCAAGGATATTGATTACGCGACTTGCATGGGATATTTGTAAGGTTCCTCGTAAGCGATGTCAACCTTGTACTCCATGCTGCATTCGCGGCACGTACCATTCTTCATAAACTCATTAAAGCTTATATCGTTTTCATGGAATGCTTCAGTTAGGGCAGTGATGAGGCTGTCGATCATCTCGGGGGTGTGATAAGGCCCGGGAGCAAACCGCAGGCGCTCCTCACCACGCGCTACGGTGGGGTAGTTAATCGCTTGCACGTAGTGACCACGTTTCATGAGCGACTCCGCCACTTGTGCCACCTTATCGGCACCCTTCACAGGAACAGGTACAATGTGACTGACAGAGGGCAGTTGGGGTAAGCCAGCCACCAATAGTGACAACTTCAGGTATCTTACTATCGTCTGTTGCTTTGCCCTTAAGCTCCTGCCCTCCTCACTAGCAAGGAGTCTAATAGCAGCTAATGAGCCGGCTAGAACCGGAGGCGGAAGTGCTGTTGTGAATATAAAGCCAGGAGCTAGAGATCTCACCGTATCAATCAATAAGGTAGAGCCAGCTATGTAACCCCCTACATTACCATATGCTTTTCCCAGTGTACCGGATACTATATCTATTTTATGTTGTAGCCCTCTTTCTTCTCCTATACCAGCCCCATGCTTTCCATACAGTCCTACGGCATGTACTTCGTCAACAAATGTCAGGGCTCCGTACTCATGGGCTATATTACACATTTCATCTAATGGACATATTGCTCCACTCATGGAGTGGACAGTCTCAAATACGACTAGCTTGGGAACACCAGAGGGGGATTGAGCCAGCAGCTCTCTCAAGTGGTTTGGGTCATTGTGCCTAAATATTTGTTTGTTAGCTCGACTGTTTCTAATCCCTTGGATCATTGATGCATGGTTTCCAGCATCAGAAAAAACTAAACAGCCGGGCAATATCTTTGCTAAAGTAGACAATGTTGCATCGTTAGCAACGAAGCAGGAACTGAATATTAAAGCCGCTGGTTTCTTGTGTAGTTTGGCAAGCTCCTTCTCAAGTTTTTCAGTCATCTGAGAGTTTCCAGCTATGTTCCTGGTTCCTCCAGCTCCTGTGCCATAAGATTTGATGGCATTGATTGCAGCATCTTGAACAGCTGGATGACGAGACGCTCCAAGGTAGTCGTTGGCGCACCAGACAGTGACTTGACGGTTCTCCGCACCCTCTAAAGCTTGCGGGTACATACCATCAGCGGCTAAACGGGATACTTTCCTGAAGATTCTGTAAGAGTAATCTTTCTTTTTGGCGCTTATTTGTTCATGGAAGAATTTCTCATACTGATACTGCTCAATGGGCTCAGAGATGTCTTCGGTCATTTCCTTGGGAGCGTCTGAGATAATTGCGTTTTGCTGAATAAAGGGACATTTGGTCTCATCATTGCCGAGCGAGCGGAAGCTCCGTGTGAGTACGGGACAGAACTTTCCGTATTGTTTCATAAGGCTCGACCCATAATTCTTCACGAAGGCCTGACTGAACGATCCTATGAACGGGCAGGGCATTTTAACTTTTTATGTAATCAATGACACACGAAACACTTGCGACACAGTACTTCGTATTGTAATATTATTCGAGATTTTTTGTAGGAGCGTTGGCTCGCACTGTAGCCGAACGCCGCGCGGTTTTCAGTCAACTGCTGGCACGAACAACGGCACCTTTCATTTATAAAGTTGGTGTCGTCATATCGATTGCGAGAAATATACTTCATTCACTTAGAATTTTATTTTGATGTCATAATAGGAATGTTGCCATTTGCCGAAGTCAAGTAAGAATTTGATTTGATCTTATTGATGTTGCCATAAGAAGAATAAACTAAAAAATAAATTAAAAAGACACATACAATAAGTTCCTGCGTGTCCAAAAAGGTTATTATCATACAAAAATTTACTTTTACAGTATATGTAGACGTAGAAAGAAAAATCTAAACTAATAGCAGATTACATTACAACTACGTGTTTAGAGTCCTAAAGACTGACTTAGTTACACTTGCTTTAGATGAATTAATACCAAATTAAGTAAGTAAGCAACAACTGAAACTTTTTTAAGCGTGAAGTCTAGGTCACAGTGATAAAAATTAAATGTTTTAAATGTACGAATGTAATTTGAGGAATTCGGACTTAGTCATTATTTTACCTTTTTATGGAACTTAATACTTTGAAAATGCGATATTTGATTGTATCATGGTGGATGGTGGATGTCATTGCTTTTTTTAAGAGTTTTGAAAAAAATATTTGTTCCAGCATTCAGATTTACAGGACCTAAATAAATAAATTAAAAAAAAATTAATGCAAATTCTGTGTGAACTGGTTGAAATAACCCACTATTACTATTAAGACATTTTTCCTTTTTTGAGTGAACTGAAAAAAGAAAAAAAGATGTCAATGTCATATTTTCACAGCTGTCACGTTACCGATCGATATGAAATATGTCAAAAAAACTGTCACCTCCAGTGTAGTAATGTAAACCTGGGTCGAGTAGTTTTTCACTTATAATATATTAAAATTAAATATGTTTTCCCTTCATAATCAATTGGAATTGAGAAGAATCACAATATCTAGTCTGGTGACATGCATTTATTTACCAAGTATAGTGACAGTTATATCGTATAAGGGATTACTTTACTCCGTCGGAAATGCTTCGTCTTTTTATATTTTGGTCTTAATTTTCATCGCAGAATTAATTAAATCATTCTACTTGAGTTCTAGCAATGATATTCAAGCAAGGAGATCTAAACAGAACAAAAACAAAGCTGGAGACATAATAAAATCAACTATCTTTCTTCTGTGTGTCATGTTTTGCTTCTTCGTCGGAATTATATTGTTCGGAGCGCCAGTATTAGATAGCCACGAGGAGACATTGATGTTATCTACACTACTTACCTTGTTGACTGTATTTCCTCTGATAGTTCACACTGGTGTTGAGACAGCTATGCAGCTTCTGTTTGGTGTAAAAACTTATGGGAGAGACACTATCATTGAAATGCTTGTCAACAATGCAATTTTGACAATTTGTGGAGCGTGGTTAGGAGCTGTGGTTATACCACTGGACTGGAACACTCCCTGGCAGGTGTGGCCGATACCTTGTTACCTCGGTGCTCTTGGAGGGTTCCTTTTATCAAATGTATTGACAGTATTCAAGATGACTCTTATGAGCGCAGCCCAGAAGTACCCTGTGTTAAATGCACTAGTTTATATATTAAATAGATGTCAAACTTGTAATTAATGTATTATGATGTTAGAAATAAATTTATAGATGATATAGATACAAAAAAATGCATTTTTTTTTCTGACAATGGTGCTAATTCTGTTGTTTGAAAACTCTCTAAACTTAACTAAAAATCACTAAAAATATTTTAATCCTTTCAAATACTATATTTTCAGAATAGAAAACATTGTTTTACAGGACTAAACTTTAGTTTTAGTTTAGAGATTATTTGAATAACAGAATTAGCACCAATACCACTTCATTCTTGATATAAATCAGCATTACCCACTATAAAATACTAGAGCCAGAGTCATAGTTATACTCATCTCGCTTTCAGTAGGTAGATAGATACACAGAATATTGAATGAGGTATAACCAATGACTATATAATGCTATAGCATTATTTCATTTTATTTATTTCTTTATTTTTCATTTTTTGTTATTAGTAACCATCAACCTGAGAGTTCAATAACCATGTATAGCATGAGGTTTTAATTAACAGAATACCTACCAGAGCAACTCCCTGAAGTAAAATTACACTGTGGTATAAACATTTCTTATTAATGCAGAGGTAGTATTCTTTAATTAAAAATGGGATTCTTAATAATTATGTAGAACTTTGAAATATTTTTTTATTTCTTCCTTAAATGTACTTAAAGTTGCATTGGTCTGCTCTATTCTGCCAAATTTTTCTGTAAATGAAATCACTCCTCAATCCTATTTTCCAGATGCGAATTATCAATGTACAAGTAACATGCCAATTTAAAAAAAAAAAAACTAGTTACCGTTTACGTAGTAATACCGTTACTAGGTAGTTCTTGAGATATTTAGAAAGGAATTTCAAAAAATTATCAAATGGAGATCCATTTCTTCTGACTTAGTGATTCAGGAACTGCAGGTAATGTTAATTTTTATACTAAGGGCAGAGTGACCATTAAAAAATCCCCTCTATTGTTGGTGAATCATTTGGGTAAAGTCAGGTTAGAACTGTGACCAGCGAAAGAAAATATTTTTTTTCGAAAGAAAATAGAATTCGTATTTTTGTTGTTTCGAATTATCATTACGTCGAACTCTTTGTGATTCGATCTATTGAAACTCGGTGTTTTGATTTTTGAATTATATAAATAGGATGAATGATAAATTAAGTATTAGGTATTTTGACCATTCGGAATTATGAAAATCGGTATTTTGAAATTCGTATTTGTGACTCACGGAATAAGGTTTTTGATATTTGTACCTTAAAATGGTTTTTTAAGTAACAAATAATTGACAATTAACAAATAATCAATTTCTAAATTTAAAAAAAAATTCAGTTAGCCCTTGCTTCCTTTTTAGCAAGACTGCTTACGAAATCTCATAAGTTACTTAAGGTAGGAGCCAGACCACTTAATGATGTGCTCAAATCAACTCCTTCTCCCGAAGACCGCAAATATTGAGCGGTTATTGTCGCAGAGAAAATATACTGAAGGGAGAACCGAGTATTATATTTTAGTGGATTTACGTATGTTTTAAACAAATGTTTATCTGATTAATATCAAACTGCCCCAAAGCGTACTTTTTCTGATTTCAATGACTTTGGAAAGAAAGGGTTCTATCTCCATTAATAACTGTGATCTATTCTTGACACTCATTTGATAATAGAATTTAAAAATATGAAATTCAGTAATGAAATCAAACTATAATATAGTAAATTAATAATTTTATTTCGTATTTGTTAAATATTTACATAGCCTATTTAACGCTCTATTTATTAATAAAATATGAAACTTAACCAACATTTGCTTGATCACATTTTGTTTATATAACTCCTATATTAGCGTTACTAATACAATCGGTGACGTCACTTCACGTTCAATGTTCAACAGCAATAGACTATGCAACACAACAATACACTTTAGAACATAACAATAGTAACACACTTAAGGCCTTAGTTCACGTTACTCTTACGGTATTTTCACACTACCCTCGGTAGATTTATGAACTAAAAAAGATTCCTTGGTTTTTATAAATCAAGTTTTTTTTAGCTGCCATACAATTTGGAGGATGGGTTGCAGACTGACGAGAAGTATGAAAAAAAGTTTAGTTTCCAGTGTATTTTTAGTTTTGTTGAGATTTAGGAGGTCATTACACCACTTCGTTTCCGTACAAAAATGTAGGTAGTTGGAATCGACCACGTCAATTCCAACAATAATTATTCTGTACCTTAAATATAAAAGCGGTCCTAGAACCGAATTCAACAATTTCATATCATTTAGCGAGGATAAAACTAGATAATTATCCTTTACTGGCAGTACCTATAAATTTAGGAACTCTAAATAATGACAATAGCATCACAATATACACAACGCTAATTGCTTTAAATATCGTCGATTATTATTGAAAACTAACAAAAATTCTCCTTAGATTTACAACTGTGTTAAAATTGCAACATTTCATTCACATAACAATATATATATTTTACATTCACACATTTTATGAACATGGCGAGCAAGACAGTCGATGGTCTACGATTCGTGTGGAAGTCCTGTAACTAATAACTGTTTTATATTGTATTCACTTGGGTTGTGTTAAAATAGTTTTAATTCCTACGAAATAAACCGAAAATATCTTGACTTAGATCTTTATTAAGTGTGACGGGTGCCGTAAGCGTCTTGATTCAGTTGTACTATGTGATAGCTATTCTACAATTAGTGTCATTAACAACTGATTGAATGAAGATAAAAGTATGTTCACGCTGTAGTACATACATTTATTTCAACAACAATGTTAACAATATTGGAACGAAACCACTAAGTACCTAATAATACGAGGTAATTGGCAAACTTGAAACGTAATAAAAGTTCGGTCACAATTCAGTTCCGATCGACCTTCAATCTCACAAATATCATAAAAGTTATTTTCGTTATAAAGTATTATACATCCAACGTCGACTGTAATGTGATTATATCGTATTGTAACAGAAATTTGAATCAGTAATCTGCTAGTCTTAGTAATACTTTACTATTTTATTAAGAAAATATCTTTTATGATAGTTGTGCGATCGAAAGCTGATCGGAACTGAATTGTGACCGAACTTTTATTAAGAGAATTGGCCTTCTGGTTGTTCAGAGATAATTCTATTGTTATTACTTTTGTGGATCATGTTATATATTTATAGAAAATATATTGTGAAATCACCCTTTAAACAGCAACTTGTCAATTATTAAAATGTATTTAAAAGAAGCTATTAGAACATTAATTCAATAGTAAATATGAAATCTGCCATTTTTAAAAGAGACATTTCTGAATTATTTTCATACCTTAATCAAGCCACAGATAAATTAAAAGTGTAACAGATAATAATAATTCAGAAACATATTTGAATGACTATCAACTTTCGCTACGAATGAATAGAGTTTAATATTGATCGCGAGAAAGCCCTTTACTGACATAATGTTTTTTTTGCATATTTCTAAATGTAGAAAGTCTCGTAGGACTATAAGTTTGGCAAGACTCTCTTTCTTAAAGAAAAAATACGAGATCTTGGTTATGCAAAATAAAACGACGATAAATCAGTCAGTTATGGCTTTTTATGTTAATATTGTTGTTATTTCAATCAGTGCTGCAGAAAACGATTTGAACGAAATTGCCTCGACGGTATATCTCCCTTTGAAAAATATTGATGTACAAACGGTGGTCGAATATGTACGAGGACACGAGGTACACCGTATCGTATGGCACGTCATACCGACATTATTGGCTATTTCACAATGGCGGGAAAACCAGCCTGTTTCTACCTGTGTGTATACTAATGATAGGCCATTATTAAACTGTTTACAAGACGTCGCGTTCAGAAGCAATCTGGTCGTTTTTCCATCGTCTTTTTAAGAAGTAAATACGAGAAGAAAAATTGGACACAAACCCTGTACCTATCCGTCTGGCCAGCGAGGTATAGTAGGCCAGAACGTCCTTTCTAAGGAGAGGCCTATGTCCAGCAGTGGACTGTTAAAAGGCTGTTGATGATGATAATTGCGAGCTGAACGGTTGTATCCCCCGCTAAATCTTGCAAACATGTTATTGGTATAACAGCGTATATATTATTTACAGTCTAACATTACGCACCGTAAGCCTACGATAAACTCTATTATGTAAAAAATTAAAATCTTAATATGAACAAATTATCAAGCACCTTTATGTAAAAAAATAAACCTAACTCTCTGAGCCGGCATCGCGATGTAATTAAGAAACGTATAACGACTATTTTCCAAAATCATTAGACTTGGGATTTAACCATTCTTACTTTTATTAGTATTACCCTAATTGGCAACACTGGCCATCAAATGATCAGTTTCATTTATAAGTTAGTGTTGCCAGTTCGGATTTTCGTATGTACATAAGAAAAGGTGAAGTTTTACAAGCAGATTAAATTTTTAGTAATACTTTTTGAAGTGATAAATTCTTATGGGATTCCATTCTTCGTTACGTAACGCGTTACGGCGCCAGTCTGTCTGGCTTTCCTTTCTCTCACGCATACGGAAGCGGTAGGCAGGCTCCTCTTCTCTCACTCTAAGCAACGCTAGCCGTATTTCGGACAGACGCTTAACATAAAAGTAAGGTAACAACCTAATCTTTTCTCAAACAAAAATGTTAAACAATTTCAATATTAAATAGTTCAACTTAGTTTAGTTTAAGTTATCACTTCGGTCGGAGTTAATTTATATTTTCCCGGTTTGTAAAGATATTCTAGGGAGACAAGGATTTGAATACTACTTAGTATTTTCTGTCAGAAGTGAATACAGGTTATAAAAGCAGGCGAGTAAAGAACATGGCCATGACATGATGCCTTCGTACATCTAAAGAGTACATACCAGTTTATATGCAGCAGTAATTGATAGGTTCGATTACCAAATGTAATTTGTAATCTCTTAACAATTATTTTATTTTAGTGACAATAGCAAATCTACGCGATACAAGAATTACTGTTTAAAAAATAACGTATCTTCATTTTTCGCTAAACAAATACCCTGTCGCAAGTTGAACAGTGAGGGTAGGCGTGAGGGCAGGAGGGTCCGGACCTCCCTAGACAACTCTAACAACTAAATTCAAACATACCTAATGTCACTTTGGCTTTGTGTTTTTGTTTTTACTTACAAGTCTTCGCAAACGGTAAGCATTAAGACATTTTTATTAGGTACGCATCGTACATATTAATATTCCGTTTAATCTACTGTGAAAATCTCGATTACAAAAAATAGCACACCTTTGCGGCACCGTAACATAACACACAGACAAAAAATATAAAAATATTTATTTAAGTGGTAATACACATTTCAGGGTTGCAAGAGTTAAAATACAGACACAATAAGAACATCTAACGTTCGATAATATATCTTACTGTAATTATTATTATATAAAAATGCACCACTAATACTAGATTACAAGATATATTTTTCAACAATTTAATATTTTTTCCTGAGAAATTTTTATTCTGTTTGATACGATGAAATGAACTTTATCCAACATTTTATAAAAGTTAATTTTGTATGTTTTGAGTTTTATTTATAAAGTCTTCTGCCTATCCCTATTCCCAACAAAGGTTAATGTAACACCCTGCAGCAACTTTGGTAGCCAACAATCTCTGGATCACATGTGTGGCCAAACATTTGAAACATAAGCCACAATATTTAGAGAGCCTACATCTAATTTACAATCATTCAAATTTCTGGACCCAAAAGTATTTCTGATATGTCACTGATAGGAATCTCAATTTTTGTTCATTATTTCCATAATACAAATGATGTCTTCATTGAACTTAGTGCAATGTGAAATTAAAAAAAGATCAAACATTGAATAAAATTTTCACAGGAATATAATAACAACAGCCACGTTTAAAATTGAACGATTCATGTTTCAAAATTGGCTAATGACGTTTAAGTCCAGAATTTCATTCGTCTAATTTTAAAACGATCACTCGATATTAAATTTGAGTGCTGCCAACATTTCGTTATGAAACTCTAATCTTATTTACAAGCACAAGATTCCTCCGCCGCAGCACGTTGCGAGCTAATTTATCGATCCTTAAGATTATTTAGAGAATTTTAAATGGAAGCTGACGACATTAGGAGAAATTAAAAATTACGACACCTAGATCTAGGAAAACTTTGAACTTAACTAAGCTTCGAAAACTACCTACAAGATCACAAAACACGTAAAACAAATCTAGAGTTTTATTATACAAGTTAAGAATTTTTGAAGCCTAGACAAGGTATAAAATTCCCCTATTTTGTTTCAAAGTGAGATGTTGGCAACCCTGGCCGATCGAATATATATAACAATGCAGTAAACGATTAAACGCCTTTACGTGTTGCTCGTGTCTGGTTGAAAGTAGTGCAGACCGTTTATCTGTAAACAAAAAAAATATATATACTACGTGGCGACAATGTATTGCGATATATTTTTAAAACTTATAATTAATATTCGAATCCAATAAGGCAGTGTTTTTCAAATTCCACGCAAACGAAGTCGCTCGTACCAGCTAGTATTCAATAAATATTCACACTGTCAAAATAGTATATTAAATTTAATGTATTCTATCTCATTCTCTCGCCAACTAAATCCTATACATTTATGTGTTGGTTTACAGTCTCTTCTTGATGGATACTAATGAATACCTTAACATGAATTTTTGTTAAGTTGAAATATTTCTTTGTCTTCCAAGCCACCTGAAGTCCTTCAGATGGCTTGGAAGACTAGCTATAGACCGATCTAATCTAGAAACTAGAAATAGTAACATTATTAGCACGTACCGTCATATCATACTCGGTGACGAAGGCGGGTACCTCGAGCTGGTCCCGCGCCATGACCGAGTAGAGGTACTCGACGCCGGGCAGGTTGTGCACCTTGGCCTTGATCGCCGGCGCCATGAACGTCGTGAACCACCACGTCATCATCTGTAACAAAAGTATGTTATTTTGGGTATTTTTTCCACGATAGTTCTAAATCGGTTCTAAGCCTGTTAAAACAAACACCTGCCAAGTTACAAGTTGCTTTCATAGGTATTTCACTACAAAAATCTATTTTTTTATTGGCAATTCAACGCTTTTTATTTCTTCCTTAACTAATATAATCGGTTCGAAAGATATTCAATGTTCAAGGTATTATCAATTCCGTTGTTTTAAGAGATCCTTAAATTATATCTCCACCATGAGAAAAGGCTCCGTGTGGTGATGGATTAAGAATACGGAGTGTCACCACCCACCAATCATCACGTGGGCGTCGTAAGAGCCGACCATGGGAGCAAAACCACGCAGGACAACAGCATGCAAAGAGAAGAAAAACTTGACACAAACCCTACACCAACCTGTCTGGTCAGCGCGGTATAGCAGACCGAAACCTCTTTTCGAAGGAGGCACCTATGTCCAGCCGTCTAATATTAAAGGCCGTCGATGTGATAAAAAAACTATCGTACTTGTGTTTACAACTTTAGAAATATTTGCGATATTCCAACTTAGCTCCTTAGATTGAAAAATGCATATAGACTGGCTTGTTAATTTAATGACCCTGACTGCTAAATCAGAAGTCCTGGGTTCGATTCCAACCCAGGACGTGTGATGAGCATGACCATTATCTTGTTCTATGGCTGAGTGTAATTTATCCATAATATATATGTATTTAGGAATATATAAGTATGTTTATCAGTAGTCTGGTTACCATAGTACAGGCTCTGCCTAGTTTGGTATCAGACGGCCGTGTGTGAGATGTGTGAGGTTATTATTATTATGTGAAAGGCAGTAACTTTTGGGACTATTGAATAGATTATACTCCGCTACATACAAATAATTATTCAAGGAATAAATTGTATTTACCTTTGTCCAAAATGTGGGGTGTACGATATAGAATGCTTTCAGGTTCTTCTTATATCTGAAACATAAATAAAGTGTTGTTTGTTAATCAAATAAAAAATTGTGAAGAAATGATTGAATGAAATGAATTTTGCTAATTATCATTCCAATTAAAATAATTGTTTAAAGTAATTAGCGTAACACGTTAAGTGACATGACCTTCAGAAAAGTATTTTTTTATAAATTGCTATTTAAAGTATTTTGTGTTCCGTTACGAATAATACGTTTATTTTTTAATGAAAGTATCCTAAGCTTCTTTTCTCAACCATATGCAAAATTCATGACGCTTGAAGAAGAGAGAAGAGATGGTTGAGAAGGCGTGAAAGCTTTACAAAGAAATAAACGCACTATAAATGTTTGTAATAAAAAATAAAAAAATGTAAATTATTTGCAGAATCAGAATAAAGTCCAGGTTACATTTTGTATATGATTTTCATCTTGTTGTCATTAGATTCTTATATAAAGTTTGTTACTAAAGCTTACATAAAACTAGTATACCTACCTATATATGTATATTTTAAAATGTGCAAGATTGAATATAAAGAGGTAAAAAAAAAAAGAATTTTGCAAACGGCCTGAGCTAAGTGTATTTCAGGCAGTCGCTTGACTATGTTAGTTACAGGATTTATAATATTAATTTGTACTAATTAAACTGGTTTTACCACGGATCAAATTCCAATATCTTCTGTATTTTGGAAGGGTATTTTCACTTTTACTCTTGAAAACAAATCACAAATGCGATGCCACATTGCAACACATTTTTGTTTCAGTATATTATACAAAATACTGTATATTTTACAAGTTCAAGTATATTTGGCAAAGATATGTTCCGACTCACTTGAGCATTACAAGTGACTCACTTGTGCCTTGCAACACATTTTTGTTTCAGTATATTATATAAAATACAGTATATTATACAAGTTAAGTATATTTTGGCAAAGATATGTTCCGACTCACTTGTGCATTACAAGTGACTCACTTGTGCCTTGCAACACATTTTTGTTTCAGTATATTATATAAAATACAGTATATTATACAAGTTAAGTATATTTTGGCAAAGATATGTTCCGACTCACTTGTGCATTACAAGTGACTCACTTGTGCCTTGCATGCAACACATTTTTGTTTGAGTATGTTATATAAAATACAGTATATTATACAAGTTAAGTATATTTCTGCAAAGATATGTTCCGACTCACTTGTGCATTACAAGTGACTCACTTGTGCCTTGCAACACATTTTTGTTTGAGTATGTTATATAAAATACAGTATATTATACAAGTTAAGTATATTTCTGCAAAGATATGTTCCGACTCACTTGTGCATTACAAGTGACTCACTTGTGCCTTGCAACACATTTTTGTTTGAGTATGTTATATAAAATACAGTATATTATACAAGTTCAAGTATATTTGGCAAAGATATGTTCCGACTCACTTGAGCATTACAAGTGACTCACTTGTGCCTTGCAACACATTTTTGTTTCAGTATATTATATAAAATACAGTATATTATACAAGTTAAGTATATTTTGGCAAAGATATGTTCCGACTCACTTGTGCATTACAAGTGACTCACTTGTGCCTTGCAACAAATTTTTGTTTGAGTATGTTATATAAAATACAGTATATTATACAAGTTAAGTATATTTCTGCAAAGATATGTTCCGACTCACTTGTAAGGCAGCACGGTGTAAGCCTCCTTGAGCCAGGAGAAGGGCGGGTGGTTGTTGGACGAGGCCAGCGTGTGGAAGTACGCGATCACGTAGTCGCCGCGAACGATCGGGTCCAGCAACTTGATGAGGTATAGGAGAGCCTGGAATGTGTATTATGGTAAGAGTTAAAATAACACACTCAAGATTCAGAAGACAAGAAAAGTATTGCTGTAATATTGATTAAATCTAATAATACGTTTGTACTAATGGTCTCGACAGAATCGACGGGACTGTGAATTACTATACGATTTTTTTGGACAATTTAAAATACCCTTTTTTTATGTGTTTTTAACTAACAATAAGCGTTTATTTAGGATTCAAAAAAATATTTGTTACCTATAAACGATTTATACATGTCATTCATTATTTGTTGTTTCCTGCTTGACTGAGGTGACACAACGGCTTTACAGAAAACCGGTAACCGGTTAAGCAATTCTTTTGCCGATTTTCACGGAGTACATGAGGTTACAGGCCAAAACCAACCCTTCCCCTATTTCTTGGTTTCAAAGGGCTGCAACGCACTTGTGACCTTTGTGTCGCAGGTGTCCACGGGCGAGCGCTTACCATCAGGTGACCCGTCTACTCGTTTGCCCACTACATGTTTTTAAAGTGAAACCTTTTTTAGGAGCGTTGGGCATTTTTGAACACCCAACAAAAGAATGTATTTTTTGAGATGGGAAAAACAATTGAACTCGCTACACTGTTACCGTTACCGACACATCTCTCTATAAGTAATTATATTGGCCCCGGTTACACCAGAGATGAGTTTTGGTTGAAATTCGTTGATAATATAACTATATGTGTAAAATATAAAAATAAATTGTGTATATACGTTCAACATAGAATATATTCATGTAGGAACTTTTCGAATAAAAAAAAACAATCAAAATCTTTTAGATTTTTAAGTATTCACTCTGTCGGCACTCCCGGAATCCCAAGGTTTTTTTTTTCAAGATTGACGTAATATAAGAGCGTTAGACTGCCCTGTAAGGGATGCACGTCGAAATATATGCATTCATGAACATGGCTGGCCTTGGTACAAAGTCTGTAAATGAATCTTACCTTGTCTAAATCAATATCTCCAATAGGAAACCACTTCCCAATGAACACGACTACGGGGCGGCCGAGTCTGTCCACTCCGCTCTGGTACAAGCACCCGATGCCGGAGATCTCGCTTAAGTCTTCTGTGCGTGCGCGACGGAGCAGACGTTCATATCTGTAACAAGAAGAATGAAGTCATCTTTAAATGAACAGTAGGTATGGTGAACTCGATTTAATCTTGGAAAATCGAGAGAGTTTTACCGTTGCGGGTTTCATAAGTTACATCTGACATATCACCATCTGATGGGCTTAGTGTAAGCTTATTTCATTTCTACTCGACTGTTATGGTACCCGCGTTCAACGTTGCGATTGGCTCATACTGAAATTTTCACCAATCGCAACGTCACATGCGCTTGCCGTCGAGATGGCCCCCTGATGACTAAATCTAGCACAGCGCGCGTTTATTGGTTAAACAATTAGTTAGCACGCATTTCCACGGTTTCCAGTTACACATTTCCTTCTCTTTTTAGGAATTTACTTCCATATATTGCTGGAAGGAGAGAGAAAAGATGATATACATCAACATGAACATAACAAAACAAGTTTTTTGCGACTTACATTGTCGGCAAAAAGACTAATATATGTTATAGGTATGTGTGTGTGCGTGGGTAGTTCTGTATGCATACATTGTATACACACATATACAAACGCCTAAAGTTGAATACACGACAGCACGATAGTCAATTGATTTATTTTCGGAGTCTTTTAATGTTCAGTTTTCGGAACAGACTTCCTCAAAAGTAAACTTTTGAGAATGCCTAAATATAACTGCGATGCGAATTTATTTTAACAATAATAACTTATTTTTACTTTCATACGAACGAAATAAAGTTAGTAATTAATTATACATAAATAAACGTAATTGGTGCAAGAATGATGCCAAGGAACGGATGGACGTCCGGTTGTACTTGATTTAATAACAAACTTTCATCAAAATACTTAGCATTTATTTAAACGTGCATCGAAGAAAAATATTTTTAATGTAATACCAATAAATAGAATTATTTATATTTTGTTACGTACGTTACGCCCTTGGCCTAAAAAGCTCCCGTGATGCGTAGCCAATCATCTTAGAACTGCGACCATGCTCCACTTGGGGGCAATAATGTGTAGTGTTATGTGTCAATACAGATTGGTGAGTGGTATAGGCGTATGAGAGCAAACAGTTCTATTTCTGGTGTAATATCCACCATGGTGACGTAAAGAGAGCTGGTTTTACAATACGGTAAACGTATAAAAGAAAGGACAGTGGGATGTGGTTTGGGCTGACTGCCTGGTTAACGTGACTCGAAAATATATATCACATATGTATATTCTCTTTTTAACATTAATATTTAATATACCGGAAGGTTGTGTCTGTTTGTTTAGCGTGGAAGGTTATTGTCGCCATTATAATGGCGATACCATTGCGATTCTATAATTATATTTCACAATTGTATAGTTTGTATCATGTGCCAGTGTGGATAATATATAAATTTAATGTGCGATACGTCGTTATGTCGTTATGTCAATATTGTAAATATTATTTCATGCCTTTTATAGTAACTGTGTATGACCAATTTTGTGTGATAGTCCCTTTTCAAATTCAGTATTTTAAGTAACGCTTTAAATATTAATATAATATTTAAAGACCACTTTAATATGTTATATATGTATGTATATATAACATATATTAACATAAGTGAGGTTATTCTCACATATCTCAGACAGGGCTTCAAACAAGGCAGAGTGTGTACTATATTTACCAGACTGCTGATAAACATACTTATATATTTCTAAATACATACATTTCTGAGATGAAACAAATGAACGTGCTCATCGCACTATTATTTATCCTGCGTGGGAATCGAACCCACGATCTCTGGCTTAGCAGTCTGAATAACACAGACCACCAGGCCAGTCTAGTGTACAGAACCTACAGAACTCAAGTGTTTTATCAGACTGAACACCAAGTCAGTTTCTAGTTTACCCTTCACTACAAAACTGCTTAGTAATTATGACTTCAGGTAATTACATTACAAATATGATAATTAAAACTTCACTAAAATATGAGTAAAAAATACGCATAATACATACATATTATATTATCCGTATTTGTTCTGAATATAATGCCAGTAAAACTATGACACTGTACAAATAAGACTTGCGCAATGACATACACGGTACGTACCCACAGTAATATTTGTATAAGAATTAAAATATTTTAATCGCTGTGACATGTGATGGCGGAACTGTAATGCGGGCGGTTAACGATATTTGTTTGCGAATTTGCACAGCGTAATAAAATGATTAGGTTTTTTTGGGACCCCCAAATAGGTATGGTGACGCTGTCTTTTACAAAATTTTAATAATATATTATGTTATTTTGGCGAAATGTTATATTTTTTTAAAGAAGAAATGTTTTTGAAAATCACGTAATTGTACTAAGAAAATCAGGATTTTAATTCAGTAATATTATGCAAAGAAAACTATGGTATTAAGTTCCTGGGCCTCAATTCTGCTATTACGCCAAGCCAGTGTCATACCAATGACACGCTATTGCCGAGAAAAACAAATAAATCATTTCCTCAAAAAACGTAATATATTTTCAACTACAGATATTTATACCGATGCCAATGGCTACTCGATGGCATCTCAATAGCGTGTCAGTGGTATGACACTGGCTTCTCGTAAACATAAAATTGCAGAATTGAGGCCCAGGTCGCTTACATAGAATAGATAGTTGGTTTCATCACAATTCAGACATCACATCTATTTAACCTGGTTTTAAGTGGAAACTAAGAAACTGAAAACAAGACGTCAAACAAGTCTTTGGTCCATTTTGTGGGCTAGAAGGTAAGCTAAACAGTGATTAACTCGACCAAAGTGGCTTTTAATAAATGTGTGGACGTATTCACCAATACGATATAGTAACAGCAATTAAAAGTATATTACAGTGAAATTAGTCTCTAGAAATTTTTGCATATGTAGTGGTGTGTATATTACTCAGATCTTAGAGCGCGTTTCGACTATATCGTTCTGGCCTATACAAAAATGTTTCGATATCCTAACATTACTATTTAATTTTATACTTATCCCTAGCAACACTCTGATTTTTGTTTTCAATAAAAACAAGTTTTTATTTTAAAGAGAAAGGTTTTGACTTTATAAAAAAAACACGATAGAAGTGAAACTTCAAAGAGGAGAGACCGATATTGACATTTTTTTTTTTCCTTTCATCTAGGTTTTTAAAACTCCGGGGAGTCTACGGGGAGTCAAAATTTTTGTTATTTTTGGCCTAGGACGCACCGTTTCCGAGATATTTCAATCTAAAGCAAAAAATCGTCACTTGATAGTGGAAAGTGGAAACACGCACAAAACCAGAATAAACCAGTTTACGCTGTCCGCTACCATACACTACTACAAACGCAAAAATTTCTCCAAGTTAATTTACCTGTAAATATGTATACAAAAATGAAACTTTCTCACGGGCAGGAGTTAATCATAACGATCAGGCTATCCAGCTATCAAATTCTCATTAGGTATTACTTCCCAGCAATTAAGGTTCGTATAGGAGAAAGAATGTACACAACAAATAATCAATCAATAATAAATTCTCATTAGTTCTATTTATTGCCCTGCCTTACGGCATTACGAAAATAGAATATCTTCACGCTGGTCAATGAAACAGTAATGAAGTGGCATTGTACGTACCAAGATCGCGCGACCAATAAAGTTTATTTATAAAGCTTCTTTACACGTGGGTGTGGTCACAAATATGTTTCATGCTTTCTGACGTCACACTGTGTTTATCAAAAAGTGTGTCACGATATGTCTATATCTAACTGTAAGAATTTATACAACTGACATAAATTCCATTGGGCACCTGGCGCACGCGTACACTTTGTTCCACACCCGGCACACAATTCAAAGTAACTATTTAACATATATTATTATCATTTAAATGAAAGAGATGACTTAAGAACTAAAAGGTACGGATCCGCTTTTACGCGTCCCTAGTGTAGCATTTCGTGAAATTTTTATTTATGGTATTAATGTCGGATCCTGTTTGATGTCTTGTTATCTCTAGTTTATGTCTTCTTGGTTCTAAGCGAATGAAGTTGCTAGATAATTTAATATTCGGGGAAGTCCTGAAATAACATGGTTCGGGTCCTGACAGAGTAGGACAACTAACGCTGGCCGTCGGGGTGGTATCACCACATACTCCTGGCTCCTTAGTCCCCGAGAAGCAGGAGATCAGGAGGATTTTTATCCCCGTCAACAAAGAAAAAGATAATTTAATACAATAATGCAATACAAGACTAAATTTTTGCTTCACCATAGAGGTGGTGGAGGTGGAGTTACGGTATTTAGTGATATCTAGATGACATACAGATACAGATACTTTGAATGAGACTAGACATTAGTCGGAATCGGAAATAAAACGTGAATATTATCGATGTCTGAACGAAATTTTAACCCCATTCATAATGTCTTGAAAGTAAGTTAGTTAAAGGTAAGTAAACAAGTTCTGCCTATACATATGTGTTTATAAGTATTTATATTGTGTGTCTATGGAAGTCTATAGTAGTCAGGCGATGTTTAAATACCTAATATGTTTATTTTTAAAATAAAATAAATCTATCCCTGTATTAATTTTAAGTAATATCAATATATACAGGTTGTAAAGGAAATCGACCATCGAAATTTTCTGCCGGAAAATTTATCATCTTTTTTATAAAATTTCTTTAACAGCAGATTGCATAAAAAGTTTAGTTTTAGGGCAGAAAATTCCAAAGATTTTTGAGTCAGAATGATGGTCTGTTTACACTATTTCAGTATTCGTTACGATGAACTTTATACCGTGTATAATATCCGTGTTATCTATCTAGGTCTAGGTATATATAGTAATGTTGTTGTTCGGTTTGATCCTATGTATGCTGAAAGAGTTAATCAGGAGTCTCAGTAGAATTTCTAGCTGGTCAAAAACAGAGACGAGGATAGCCGCATATGGCGCATTTTCAGTTCTTGATATTGATTACAAATATGAATAATGTTGTTTATATATTTGGAATTAGTTAAACAGCTTAAGCACTGAGTGACGAATTTGGGACGTGTTAAATTCGCCGCATTATA